TTCGTGAGGAACCTAATTTTGGGTTCCTCGTGGAACCCAGCCTCCATGGAAGATCGAAAAAGATTTCATCCATGGTTTTAATGGAGGTTGCTTTAAATTGGAAAAAAAGGAACAATCTTTTAATTCACTTGCAAGAAAAGTTGAGAACCCATCAAAAAATCAAATCATCATCTTATTATTCTATCAAAACCAGAAAGAATCACAGAAAAGAAAGGTGAAAGAAAGGTACAAGCTGGGTTCGATGAGGAACCTAGAGTTGGGTTCCACCATGACGAGGAACCCAGCTCTGGGTTCCTCATAATGGAACCCAGTTTTGGGTTCCACGTCATGGTGGAACCCAGATCGGGTTCCTTGTGGTAAGGAACCCAATTCCTTGGGGAACCCACAATTGGGTTCCTTTGCTTTGGGTTCCACCGTGTTCTAGATCCTTTCTTTTTTTTTTTTGGTTGGGAGGTTTTCACATAAAATTATGCCATGTCATCAAAAAGTCATTCACATTAGATAAATAATGCCACGTAATGCCCACATCATTATTTGATTGCCACATATTGCACTTTTTAATGGTTATTAACGATGACATGATGACCCGTTAAAATATTGAGTTTTTCACGAGTTTTGAAAAGTGAAGGGTGTTAATCGAGAAGAAAATATTTGAAAAGTGTTGACCGCGAAAAAGACATAATTGGAGAGTGCAAATAAGCACTTTGGCCTACTATTTATTCTTATTGTGAAATATTTTAATTACTAAAAGATACTAAAAACAAATTTTTAAAATTTTTACTTTTCTTTTTTTTTTTTTTAATATGGGGGAATTCTTTTCAAGTAATAGATAAAAGTAAAAGTCCGAACTTAATTGAACTCAAGTATTTAGACTTAAATGGTGAATCAATTAGTCCAACTGGCTGGTTTTACTTTTCCTCTTAGGAGGAGAGATCATGCTAAAAGAGCCTTTTTGCTGCCCATTATGATGGGGTTGTCCGTATTTGTCGCTTGCAAATTGCATGCAGACCAAGCAAAAATCTTGTAATTTTTAATGTTGAGTGATCTTATATTTTGTTAATGACTTAAATGAAATAATAATTTTTTTTAAATAAAGTAAAAAAATTTTAAATTTGAATTGTTTGCATCTTGTAAGTGATAAAAAATTAAAAAAAAAAGTTACTTCTTAATATAGCACAAAATAAAAAAAATAAAAAAAAGATTTACCCCTTTTTTTGTCACATTGGGCAAATATGCTCTAAAACCTAACTTATACATTAAGCATAGATTTCCTTGTCACACCATCAACTAGCATGTAGATTAATCATAATATATAGAAGAAAAATTTTTAGAAAACAGATGAAATATATTATATATCATATAATATATATTCATGTTTTTTATAATGTCCCATAAAAAATAAATTAAATTGATAGCTTTTACCTCAATTTTTTGAAATAATATTCAATCAAGCGGACCAATAGGTCCCCATGGCCATGGTCCATGGGCAACATATTTTACTCATAACTTTATACTTACTTCGAAGAGATGATACTTGTGTATTATATGTGTCTATATATGGTTCCTATTAAAGGATTACTTTTAGTCTATGAAATAAAAGTATCTATAAAATTCAATGTATTTTGTTGTACTATTAATATATATATATATATATATATATTGTGAACATCGGCCTGATTAGGTACCATTTTTTTCATAGGGAAGGATTAAGTTTAAGCTCACGATCTGCAAATACTGCTTTGGTATGGAGCCCATTACTGGTGGGGAAGCTAGGTCCAACAAGAACTCGGTCCTTTTCTTACACTCGCTCACCCCAACACGGCAACACCGCACATTTGAAGCTGAGCTAAGAAAACGGAACTTTCTTTGTTTGTTTGATTGATTTTTTTTTTTTAATAATAATAATATAAGTATCTAGACTTTTGAACTAATTAATTTTATAGATATTTACAAATTATTTTACTCATAAATATCGAGTAAGACTTTATTTTCAATAACGATATATGTGACTTATTAAAATTATTTATACTCAAATGATATTGAGAGAATTTGAATTTATATTTTCAACATAATTTAAATGATTCTTGACTACTTGAGCCAATTCTATAGGTTGAAAAAACCGAACATTAACATGACAGGCATCGACAAAATGTAAAATCATCTAAGTACAAGGTGTGTTATTCAAATGATATATAACTAATGTAATCATATTGTTCACTCCTCAGGCACATAACCATACAAATATGTTAGTGGCTCACCAAAAACCCCGGCCATCTAAACAGAATCAGTCACTTAGTAAATGATATATAACAAATAAGTCTATATTTCCCGTTATGTATGAGGTCCATCCTTGCTAGTAGGTTACCTATGTCTATATGTCATGTCATGAAGCAGAGTCGCTTCCCTGCCATGCTTGCTACATGCTTGAGCAAGCCCTCTAAAGTACCTATTACTGACTTTGAATCTGGGATCTCGCAGCAAAGCGTGAACACTTCCTTCGACCAGTCTTGCCAAGGGCACAAACACAAGTCTCAAGAAGCTCATAATCTTCCTCCCAGAACAGCAGGGATGCCTTCTCAGGGTTCTCCAGCAGCATCTTTGAGGAAAGGAATCCAGCAATTGTCCAAGTCTGGAAAAGTCTGGATTGCTTGCCTATAAACCTCCCATTTCTTGTGTCATAATATTCAGGCCATTGATCCACTGCCAACTTCTTCTCTGCCAAAGCAACTGCTTTTTGTGCCAATTCTGGCCTCCCCATCTTGATACAGGCCAATGTAAACTGAAATATCAAGTACCATATCATTAGGAAAATCAGATTACTTTATACAGCCGAATGCAAGAAGTATGGTGCAAAGGAGAAGTAGATCAGATGTCTAATAAACAAATTTTAATCACCAATGGTTGTTACCTGCCACAAAAGTGTTGGCCAAGATCCACCATTGTGATACGACCAGGGGCTGTATGCAAGAAAGAGAGTCAGTTTCTAAGGGCGCCAATTTATGGAATGGGAAGGGATAATGCAAAGGAAGAATAGCCTCACGTATTCTTTGGGTCACTGCCCGTAATAATATGCCATTCCTCATACTCCAAAGCAGGGTAACAAATCTTAAGAGGCATGCTAGCTACAAGGTCATCCCATTTCGCCTCAATCAAATTCAGAATACCCTCACTTTGTTTCTGAGTCCCCAAAGAGGAAACGATGGCCCAAAGATTTCCAAGGGTGAAAAACCTAAAATCCATATGAGCAGGTTGTAGGTTGCCAATGAAGTAACCGCCTTCATCGGTAATCCAATCCACCAGCCAAGAAGGAATTTGGTCTGGATAGATATTGAACTTGTTAATGGCATCAGTGGAATATTCCTCCGTCTTGTAACGATAAATCTCATTTATTTTCCTTAAGTCAGCCCAGTAATACTCTCTAATATGAAATGAGAGTGCACTGAGTCTGTTGTTGACAGCTGCTACCAAATTCTTGGTTGCATCATTCACAATCAGCATCTCACGGGAGCAACGGAGAGCAGCATAGAATAAGGCCTGCAAGAACAAATTGATCAGCATAACTAGTGTAACAGGATATCCAATCGTAACTTTAGAGTTGCCTTCTAATATCCATAATTGCAAAACAGAATATCATTAGGAAACTGAAATCTAACACAAGGAAAGTGAACTGTTAACATGAATCATATTCAAATTACCTGTATTTCAAGAGGATGACCATGAATTCCCATCCGTCTATCAATCATACAGGAACCATCAGTAACTAACAAAGTAGGAAACATGTCAAACCCATCACTTAAACACAAATTAAGGATCAGCCTAATGCCTGTCTGGACATCCACCCTCTCTTGTAGTCCATAGTCACCTGTGATCTTTCCATATGCCCTCAACAAAATAATCCACCACAACCCTGTGAAAGGGAAGTGTCTTAATATGACTCACAGTTATGCTCTCAATGAAAATATTAACTTGATAAATGTGTTCTTATAAAATTGGGAACCTTAGTAAATGAAGGGTCTGATATTAACTGACAAAAGGACTACTGCAACAGAATTTAATAATTAATATGTAATTATACAACAAAATCTACAGACAGAACAATAACTCACCAGAATCAACTGGTGCAACACGCCCTATGGCTGATTCACCAAAATCAGGATCTAAAACTTCTTCAAATGCTTCATCACTTCCATCAAGAGGGACAGTCCTGACTTTAAAACTTGCTGGCATCAGCCCTTGCCCTGGGCTGTAGCAGTCCACAGTCTTCTCCCAACTCTAGAAATCAACAGAAAACACCATCAAAGAAATGACAAAGCTCACATAGAAAGCAATGTTAAGCAGAAAAGCAAGAGGTACTAAGTGTGTCCTGTCCTGTTATTACAAATGCAAAAGGAAAAAGCAAAATGAGCACCATCAAAAATAAGTTCAGTCATCACAAAGTAAGATGCAAGTGAAAAATCAAGCAAAGTAGTAGAGCAAGATGGGGCTATTTGGATAAAATAAGAATTACCTGTAACTGCAATGTGTGAAGAAGAAAATTCTTCACAATCTCCCCTTCTCCATTAAGCAGAAAAGCAAGTGCCGAAGGCACAAAATCACGGATAAACACCTGATCATAGTTTAGCGGCTGCTTGTCAGCTGGATCATTGGCTGCAACAGTCCCCACTGGATTCCCACAATACGTCACAACTGCACCACGAAGCAAATTCCATGCTTCTTTCTCAATCTCTGACAACTCTCTCTCAACCACCTTCTCATTCAAATTCACACCCCTCAAGTCGTCTAGATTTACACCCGACTCATCAACCTGTACCCCAGAATTATCTTCCTTCACCACCTCACTGCCCGTCTCAATCCTCTCAATGACCAAAGGCTTCACATTTAGATTCAACCCTCCTTGAAGGTAAATCCTCTCAAAGCCCTTCTCACCAACATTAGCTTCAACCGAGGTCGAATGGTTCCTAAAATCCGAAGCTACATTCGATATCACTAAAACCCCCCTAGAACTACCTCCATCAACACGGAAACTACTTGAAAAAACCCTAGATTGACCCCAATTCGAACCAGAAACACTAAATGCCCTCTGATTCGGGTCAGCTACACAAGTATACCCCACAGACTGTGCCTTATTGTAACCATACAAGTGAAATCTACTGTTATCAATGGACCTAGCTTGTAATTTCGACAAATTGTGGAAAGCTGAATGATTTGATTTGGGGGAAGAAAACCCATAAATCAAAGAGCTTCTATAGCTAATTAGGATTCTACAACAGGGTCTCATGGTTGAAATTCCAATACAAGTGCTGGAATTCATGGTTTCTAACAAATACATGAATCAGACAACAATATCTAATATGTCTAAACAGCTCTGTTAATCTTAAAATTCGAAGAACAGA